AAGGCTTTGATGAAATCGAATGACATTTTTTCGACACTGACATTGATTATTTGGAAGTGTTGAACTGAACTGAAATTCTTATGTTAGATAGAGGCTCGAATATGTCTATGTTATCATTTGAGAATACTGTTGACTAAAAGTAAATAAATACTAATGTGAATGGTTTGTCTGGTCATGGTGATGGCATGCAGCCCTGCAATTTGTTGACATAAGATCAAAATGGCCCCCATGAACCCATTCCACAACTGGTGGACAATATTCGGGAAATTATTCCACGGAATTTATTATAAAGTAAATTTGTTTATAATTAAACACAGGGACCAGTTGGGGGGGGGGGTCACCACTTAATGAAAGGGGACCCTGTTTCTTCTTTTCCCTTTAAACAAATGTAATTCGAGTTAATACCCCTGTTTGTGTCTCACGCTACAACCGTTGCCACTAATGGCCGCTAATGGCTTGTGATTAATTTTAATTGGAAAAAAATGTTGCGGTGGTTTTGAAAAAAAAATTGTTTTCTCTGTTTTTAATTGAGCCTGAAATAAACACAATTTTTTTTATTCAATTGATCACACACCGTAAAATTACGTTTGCACGGCGCTAGTAACTCGATTGTAGAGCTCATTCGGACTGGCATCGTTAAGAACAGCATAGCATGACGCTCGCACGACATGAAACATTGTCGTCAAAATGCCACACACGTGACGTCAAACATTGTCGTAAAATGCCACACACATGTCGTCAACCATTGTCGTAAAAATCCCACACACATGACTCAAACATAGTCGTAAAATGCCACACACGTTACGACAAATATTGTCGTAAAATTCCAGCACATGACGTCAACCATTGTCGTAAAAATGCCACACACATGACGTCAAACATTTATGTAAAATGTCCCACACATGACGTCAACCATTGTCGTAAAATAACACACACATGTTTGTCAACACCCCACTCCAGCAACCTCTTTTCACTTTCCAAATAAANCTCCCCCCGACACCCCCCTCCCCCCGACACCCGTGTTTTGGAAGCCAACCATCCCTGCCACCAGACCTTGGACCCTGTACATTCCGTATCTGGGTCAGGTCAGTCATGGTATTGGTGTTAACTCGGCAGTTGATCATGGCTATTAGAAATAAAAAAATATGTCTGTTTCCCGATGCTAGAATATGGTGCAGACGCCCTCCCCCCCCCCTCCTCGACCCATTGAAAACTGCGCACCGATCGCCCACGCAAACACTGCCAGGATGCCTAAAGGGAGATAAAAAGGCTACAGCTGTTTCATCATCAAGATCCCTGTGCCATCAAGGTACCTCGGCCATCCACCAACAGATGCGTTCCATTTTTTGTCAATCAGTGATACCCCACTCCTTTCCCTTCACCTTTAAAAGCGTGGCCACACATGCCCCCCCCCCCCGCTCCCTAACACACACAGAATGTGTCCGTACCTGGTTACAGGTGTGTTGAACATGCAGGTAACCGCCTTTACAGGAGTCTTACAGCTGTGTTAAAAGATGTCAGATTCGATCCAACATGCGGCGACATCCCCCAAAAAACTATACATGTCATTCATATCCGGGTTTTTTCTACATTAAATCAAATGACAGAAATGACAACATGTCTGACTCCTTGAGAGCAAAGACAACTTGTCTGACTCCACAACTTCCTGGATTTTTAACAACAAATTTTGTTCTTTTTTTTCCTCACAGTGGTAGAGAAGCCACGATCAGTCACGTTCCTGTTACAGTTACAGTCGCAGAGACGACACACTGGGACACTTTCCTGTTACAGTTACAGTCGTACAGACGACACTCTGGGACACTTTCCTGTTACAGTTACAGTCGTACAGACGACACTCTGGGACACTTTCCTGGTACGGGACAACCCAAACTTTGAGCATTATGGCGTCAGCAACACATGAGCTGATATTCTTCGTAAATGGACGCAAGGTAACTGTGTTTTTGGACGCAAGGTAACTGTGTTTTTGGACCCAATGTAACTGTGTTTTGTTATATTTACGTCAACTACATGACTTAACAACAGGCTGAGACGGTTTGTCTCGTTTCTTTGCCGTCCAAGACTTTTTTGTCCTAAACGTCCGCTTTTTGTATGTTGTCCTATGTAAGGGTTTCATCAACACTTTGTAAATCTCTTCTAAGATACACATGCTCGCCTTTGGCGCTCTTAATGGCGAGCTATAAAATTGCTCGAGTTGCCTGGACAGTTCTGGAAGGTTTTCTACTTGTTTCGATTCCTTTTTTTTTTTTTCCAGAATTGTTTCCTTACTTTTTCGCACAGAGTCTGGCCAATCTCATTAAGATATTTAATTTTTAAAAAAACATCCTGGTATTCCGTTTGGCCAATATCTTAACAGCCGTTCGGTACTTGGACGTTACTTTGAGCCGGCAGAGTGGGTCTTAATGTGAGCCGGCAGAGTGGGTCTTAATGTGAGCCGGCAGAGTGGGTCTTAATGTGAGCCGGCAGAGTGGGTCTTAATGTGAGCCGGCAGAGTGGGTCTTAATGTGAGCCGGCAGAGTGGGTCTTAATGTGAGCCGGCAGAGTGGGTCTTAATGTGAGCCGGCAGAGTGGGTCTTAATGTGAGCCGGCAGAGTGGGTCTTAATGTGAGCCGGCAGAGTGGGTCTTAATGTGAGCCGGCAGAGTGGGTCTTAATGTGAGCCGGCAGAGTGGGTCTTAATGTGAGCCGGCAGAGTGGGTCTTAATGTGAGCCGGCAGAGTGGGTCTTAATGTGAGCCGGCAGAGTGGGTCTTAATGTGAGCCGGCAGAGTGGGTCTTAATGTGAGCCGGCAGAGTGGGTCTTAATGTGAGCCGGCAGAGTGGGTCTTAATGTGAGCCGGCAGAGTGGGTCTTAATGTGAGCCGGCAGAGTGGGTCTTAATGTGAGCCGGCAGAGTGGGTCTTAATGTGAGCCGGCAGAGTGGGTCTTAATGTGAGCCGGCAGAGTGGGTCTTAATGTGAGCCGGCAGAGTGGGTCTTAATGTGAGCCGGCAGAGTGGGTCTTAATGTGAGCCGGCAGAGTGGGTCTTAATGTGAGCCGGCAGAGTGGGTCTTAATGTGAGCCGGCAGAGTGGGTCTTAATGTGAGCCGGCAGAGTGGGTCTTAATGTGAGCCGGCAGAGTGGGTCTTAATGTGAGCCGGCAGAGTGGGTCTTAATGTGAGCCGGCAGAGTGGGTCTTAATGTGAGCCGGCAGAGTGGGTCTTAATGTGAGCCGGCAGAGTGGGTCTTAATGTGAGCCGGCAGAGTGGGTCTTAATGTGAGCCGGCAGAGTGGGTCTTAATGTGAGCCGGCAGAGTGGGTCTTAATGTGAGCCGGCAGAGTGGGTCTTAATGTGAGCCGGCAGAGTGGGTCTTAATGTGAGCCGGCANGCCAGGGGCACCCTGATCCTTTGGAGGAAGTTTCGGGTTGCAGGAAGACCCCAGAAGTCTCGCAGGTTGATTAGCATTTTTAAAATGGGGGATTGTGGGGAAATACTTTTTTTTTTTTTTAATCGAGACGGGGTGAGGGAAATGTTTTTGAGATCACAAGGGGAGTAGCGGTGGAAACAAATGTTTAGAACCCCCTGCCCTAGAATGTTTACTGAAAGCTGAAATCGGATGGAAGCATCGTTAATGGAAGTAAATATTTCAAGCATTATTATTGGATAGTTTTCCCCTCCAAAAGCAGTGATTGTAAATTATTAGGAGTTGTAGTTAGTTCAGTAGTGTCTTCTGGAGCTAGGAACTGCGATGTTTTTATTAGAATCAGTTCGATACACTTTTAGTGTTCAGCAGAAACATACATTTTATATCAATTATCCTAACGCCCATCGGTCTATCTATTTAAACACTGGTTACCCTTCAATTTCGATGTTTGGCGTATCCGTATGAAATGACCATCTGACTGAGTCAGTGACACGGCCTGAAGGTGCGGGGGGGGCGGCCCCCCCCCCCCCCCCCGGGGGTGGGCACTTTTTTTAAGGGTGGAATTTTCGGCAAAGTGAAGAGGGTATTCTTTTCATGTAAGGGGGCGGAAAATAGCTTGGATGGCATTAACCTTAGTTACGCCACTGAACTAAGTGGCAACTGAATTTATTATTTTTTATTTAAAAAAAAAAGGCTGACATAATTAAGAACACTACGTTCTATGAATGTATAAACTAAAACTCCTGTAATATGTAAGCCGACTTCCTTACATGAGCCTGCAGTACGGCTGACCGGTACTAAGGCCGGATGTGGTGAGGGAGGATGTGGCGCCTGTACAGTGGTGTTCTCCAGGTACGACTCCACGCTTGATATCATCAAGTATCCTTTCTCTGGTGGACACAGGTTTCATAGTGGTTTATAATAAATTCATCATGTCATACTCAGGGGATAGTTTCAAATTCCTTGAATTATTCGTATTGGACAGGATTAAAAAGCTGGAATTGAATTCTAAAAGCCAAGTTTAGGTGGATTTTACCCCCCCCCCCCCCCCCCAAAACACCCCCTTTTTTTTTTTCGCAGATGATGCCTCCTCATTTTTCAAACTCGCCACATCTCGAAAGAGCCATCTCGTGTTTTCTAATGAAATTAAAGAGCAATTTTCTGGTCCATTCCCGCACACCCCCCCCCACCTTTTGTTTACTTGTCCGGTCCTCCAAATTCAAAATTTTAAAATACCTTAAACTGAGTATTCGTAACTGTATTCGTATTTCTCGGTTGAATGAGTAATCGTCTTAGAACCTGTCAAATAGTGGATGTGTTCTGGCTACCAGATTTTGAAGGCATTCTTATGTCGACAATGGTTCATGAAACAATTTCGTCCTTGTTGTTTTGTTTGTTTTCCTTCAAATGTACCTGCAGCAACTCAGCAACGAACCACAACTCTCTCGTCAGCTCACGTCGTCAGCTCTCAAAAGGGTCGCGATTTTGTTTTTTGTTTTTTGCATTCCATAAATTGTGTACACGTATCAATTCGCTATTTTCACACTTTGTGTGCATTGTTCGACCTTGACCTTCACCCCATACATTACGCCGTGAACTCCTGCCTTGCCCCGCTGTGTGCCCTGCACGGGATTGCGGTCACCACGGTGGAGGGAATCGGGAGTGTTAAGACCAAACTCCACCCAATACAGGTGAGTCGCAACAAACTACACCCAATACAGGTGAGTCGCAACACACTCCACCCAATACAGGTGAGTCGCAACAAACTCCACCCAATACAGGTGAGTCGCAACAAACTCCACCCAATACAGGTGAGTGTCAAAAACTACACCAAAAACAGGTGAGTCGACCATAGTAACACCGAAAAGATGGGGAAATTCAGACCATAGAAGCAGCAATAAGAAAATTTCAGACCATTATGACACGTCACATGGCGAGGCACGTGAGCTATGTTACAATGACCTTCAACTTCAGCCATTCGCAAAGCTGTAACTAATGCGTAATCCGGAACTGATTGATGCACTCCAAGCTTCAGAACGTGTTACGGTGTAGACTTCGTGCAGCACATCTGCAGTGTCTGTATGTGTATCAGTGTCATAACACATAGGTGAAGTGTCCACACACAAAAAATGCGCCCAGCAGATTGTGTAATTCGTCTTGTACTTAAATACTTTATCAATTAATCGGACGCTATTTATAACATTACTTTTATCTCCTTATTGATTACCTTCTCTCCAACCTTTAACTACCTTCCCCCAGCACTTTATGTCAAACCTTTAACTACCTTCCCCCAGCACTTTATGTCAAACCTTTAACTACCTTCCCCCAGCACTTTATGTCAAACCTTTGATTACCTCGTCCCAACACTTCATGTCACACCTGGATTACGCTTTTTTGATTACCTTTCCCCCAGCACTTCATGTCACACTTTTGATAACCTTTCGATTACCTTCCCATAGTACTTAATGGCACACCTTTGATTACCTTTCCTCAAACACTTCTTGTCACACATTTGATTACTTTGTCCCCCAACACTTCATGGCACCACTTTGATTACCTTTTGATTACCTTTCCCCCAACACTTCATGTCACAACTTTGATTACCTTTTGATTAGATTACCTTTTGATTACCTTTTGATTACCTTTTGATTACCTTTTGATTACCTTTTGATTACCTTTTGATTACCTTTTGATTACCTTTTGATTACCTTTTGATTACCTTTTGATTACCTTTTGATTACCTTTTGATTACCTTTTGATTACCTTTTGATTACCTTTTGATTACCTTTTGATTACCTTTTGATTACCTTTTGATTACCTTTTGATTACCTTTTGATTACCTTTTGATTACCTTTTCACCCCGCACGTCATGTTCCAGTGTGTTGTGTTGTTGCTACTTTAAATACGACACTTGGAATAACCCTTGATCCCCCGCTCACCCCCCCCCCTTCTCTTTGTCCATACAGCGGCAGATGGCTGAGAGTCACGGCTCCCAGTGTGGGTTCTGCACCCCCGGGATCGTCATGTCCATGTACGCCTTGATCCGCAACAACCCCGAGCCTGACCGACACCAGCTCTACGACGCCATGGACGGTGAGCACTGACTCGTGTTTGTGTTGAGACAGGGTTGTTGAGTTGGAAACAAATATGGTTGTTTTGTTTTCAAGGTTGACCCACAAGCATTAGCGACACCCATTAGCGACTACCATTAGTGACTACCATTAGTGAATACCATTAGCGGATACAGGAATTTGAGAGCAATGTCAAACACCATCGAATTTTTCCGAACATAAACTTGTTTCTAAAGCACAATTAAAAGTTTGAAAAATGTAACTTTTTTTTTAAAAAAAATTGATACCACTCTGTTAGTTTGTGTGAGAGTGGTTATTATGTGTGTGTGTGTATCTTATAGCGCACCGCTCATTCATTGTATGTTCCCCATTTCTTTTGTATATTGTGGAACCCCAATCGTGTTCAAGTGCCAGTTTGCTAATTGTGTTCTAAACGTATGCGTTTTGTGTCATCCTGATAATATCGCCCCTTACATGGTAGGCCCTGACATGGTAGGCCCTGACATTGTCGGCCCTGACATGGTAGGCCCTGATATGGTAGGCCCTGACATTGGCAGCCCTGAAATTGTCGGCCCTGGCATATTGAAACTCTGCACGATATAATCATTGGTCTTATAATGAACTCCACACCATGTTTAAGACAACATTTCCAGAAAGTATTTTTTAAGCCGCCCACCCCCCCCCCTCCCTTTTTTTCCACCGCACTGTACACGATGGTGAATGATTGAAGGTATCCTTTGATGCAATTCCATTTGTCATATGTGTCAGTTAAAAGATTACATTTCCTTGTATTTCATTTAAAAAAAAAAATATTAATTGATACTGAATAAAAGTTCTATGAATAATTTACTGATACTCATTTCAACATTTCTACGATCTCCAGGTAACTTATGCCGATGCACGGGTTATCGGCCCATCCTTGACGGTCTCTATCCATTCACTAAGGTAAGTGCACAACGCACTTCAAATATTAAACTTTGGCATGATTGGTAGATTAGCTCTAAGGTTCTCCACGGAACGGGAGAATAAAGAAAATTGAAAACAGTTGTTCGTTCATTCAGTTATGTTCAAGGACTGACATTTTGGAAAGAAACCTTTGAGAAAAACGACTTTTTTTTCAAAATAATATAAAAATGCGAACATTTACGAGCTCTTTTTGATTAAAAGACAAAAACAGTAAGCTATGTTCGACAACTCTCAAACAATTTAAAAGTTAAAAGTCGCGTATGTGAATTCAGATATCAATTCCTTTATTAGTTTGAAAGGGCTTTCGACCGAAATGTTCTCTGTGTAATGTCCCATTCTTTTACTCCGAGCTTCAACATACTTTGTTCAACGATTTCCTTCACTCAGCTTAAACGCGGCCCTTCATTTGTAGATCTAACACTACAGTAATTCATAAACCGCATTTTTATGTTTATATTATGATAGTGATAGTTAAGTATGTGTTAGTTATTTTCTCCATAATTGGAAACGTAATAATCTGTAGACTGTAGAAAATGATATTATGCTTGCATACATTTATATCAAGTGCGGTGTGTATTCAAATGTTATTTGTACTGCAAACGCTGCTATTCTTTTTAACATAATAAGGAGTCTGCCGGCTGTCCCATGGGAGAGAACTGTTGTAGAAATCAAACAACATCCCAGACTAACGGTTGTAACCCTTCAAATGGATTCACGAATGGTAATCATGTTGAAACAGATTCAGATGAGGTAAGACAAATAGTAATAGCAAGTCCAATATGAGTAAATGTTACCAGCTTACCATCTGCATATTTACTTTTAATCTAATCCGTGATTTCTTGTGTAGAAGCTGCATGTAATTCATGTAAAAAAAAAAATAAACATTGACTCAACAAAAGTATTGTTAGAATAATTGCTGTGATTTGATGTACAGTAGTCTACTTAATGGTTTTTCCAAATCCAATCAATTGAATCAAAATTTAAACAATTAGAATTTGGTTTGATGTTTGCTACCAATAACTGGGTTTTTGGGATTTATTTGTTTGTAGGAATTTGAGCAGAAACCCCAAGAATTACTATATGATCCTACCCAAGAACCCATTTTCCCACCAGAGTTAAAGGTAAATTATTTTATTAGCACTATTTATAAGACATTGGCTTTCTTCTTTAAACTCTATGCTTAGCCAGTGCTGTCCTAAGGGAGATAGGTACACTGGACACTGGCCTAAGGGAGGCCAGTTCCCAGTGTTCCCCCTATTCAGGTAATTGAATTTTACTTTATTAATTGACTACATTGCTAATTGTATGTTATTAGGATGTTTTGCTTAAGAATAAAAGTATTTTATGATGAGATAAAATGTTTTCTCAGCTGCAATAAACAGTATTTGGATGAACTAAATGGTGTAGCATGTTTACGGAATTTCTTTAGCAAGCACGCTCGAAATGACACAGTGACACAATACATTTGTGACTGTGCTTAGTATCACTTTAAGTCACAATGTTATGAAAATAACAAGAATTCATAATTAATTTTATTTTCCATATTAAATAACTGATATTTATTTCATAGGTATGAACATTTTATAACAAGAATATATTAAAGCCTATTAAGAAAGATTTTTTTTTTTTTCAATTTTGACAACAGCTGATGTCAGCAAAGCTTATCACAGAATATCTGAGATTTGAATCTGAGCGCTGCACCTGGCTGCGTCCTACCACACTGGATCAACTACTGGACATTAAAAAGAACTATCCAGATTGTAGACTGGTCACTGGCAACACAGAAATAGGTCAGTGATCAAATAACCCCCAGTTGTTTTTTTTTTTTTTTAGAACAACTTTCCTCTCCAACTGGATTGTTGAATATTGTATGTGAAAACCTGATGTGCTTTGTAACAATCCATTTTAAATCTTTGCTTTTGGTTCAACTTATATTTTCACTAGAATGCATTCATTGTGCATGAATCAAGTAAGCTGACCTTTATGTCTTGGAAAATTGTACATAATTCCAGAATTAGCATAATTTCTGAAAAAGTAGCTGCTTGAAATTCTATTTAATTAAATTAAAAAATAGATCAACAGAAAAGAGTTACCCTTGTGCAATTCTCTTGATTTAAATTTCATCTTTCTGTCCATCAGGCATTGAAACAAAATTCAAGCAAAGACATTATCGTATTTTGGTGAGCCCGGCATTTGTCCGGGAGCTGAGGGCGGTAAAGATATTGGATAATGGAATCCAGTTCGGAGCCTCTGTGACTCTCACTGACATGGAGAAACATTTACGGAAAGCTGTCAACAATTATCCAGGTAGGGGTTACATTTTTTTAAAGCTGAGGCCAAACTTTTGGAATGTTTTTGTGGGGCCTTTGAATTGTGATAGTTGCTTCGTGAAAAATGTTTTTACTATTTTCTTTAATGCGTTGACTCGTAAAGTCATCACATTATAAAGTCATCACATTATAAAGTCATCACATTATAAAGTCATCACATTATAAAGTCATCACATTATAAAGTCATCACATTATAAAGTCATCACATTATAAAATCATCACAATAGAACAGGGTTGGTGGTTGTTGCTCTCATGTCATGTTCACTTTAAAAGAATGTCTTGAAAACTCTCCCCAGAGGAGAAGACCAGAGTGCTGACAGCATTCTTAGAGATGCTGACTTGGTTTGCTGGCAGACAAATAAGGAATGTGGCTGTAAGTCAAGGGGTCTCAACTTAAAATCTCAGCAATTAGTCTGTCCAGTCTTCAGCAATTAGTCTGTCCAGTCTTAAAATTGCTGCTCCTAAAGATTATAGTTAATTATTGTAACTAAATTTAAAAGCACATAGTTTGTAAACATATTGAAATCTGATGTAGTTGAATATCTTTGCCAAGCTATTTATTTGCCTTTAAAAAAAAAGGTATATTAAAAACATTTGAAGCATTACACACACAAAATATTTAAAAAAATAAGTTTTTAAGCATTAGATAGACATGCAAATTTAAATTTGTACAAGTATTTTTAATTTCTTATAATTTGATCATCTTATCAGTTGATCATAAATCACATTTTAAACACACTTGTTCTTCGACTTACAGAGTATAGGTGGTAACATAATCAACGCCAGTCCTATATCTGATTTAAACCCATTACTTTTGGCCTGCAATGCTGAGATTGAGTTTGCTGCACAAGGTTAGTTGGGAATTATTCATTTTCTCCAAAGAGTATGCTCTTTGTGAATGTTGTATTGCTAGCTGAAAAAATTTTAACACTACCATCACTGTCTTAAATGTGTGTCACCATTATAAAACTGTCAGTGTTCTCTTTAATTTGTGGCAAACAATAAAAATATTGTCTAATGGTTATGAAGAACTGATGTGATTAGTCTATTTGAATATTTCTGTTTGATTAGTCTTTACTCTTTGCCTTTATATTTAGAACATGGCCATCGCACAGTTAGAATGGACTCAGATTTCTTCCGAGGCTATAAAAAAACACGAATGAGACCCAATGAGATTTTAGTGTCCATCACTCTACCATTTACAAGCGAGGTAATTTCCATGTCTTGCACTATAAGTAACAACATAATCTTATTTATTTATATGCCACCTTGGATACAGTATACCTACAAGTAGACCCCACAATTATACCAGTAGGCCTCATACAATTTTACCAGTAGGCCCCATCATACAGTTATACCAGGCGGCCCCATTGTACAATAATACTAGTGGGCACTATCATACAACTATACCATTAGACCCATCATACAATTATACCATTAGACCCATCATACAATTATACCATTAGACCCATCATACAATTATACCATTAGACACATCATACAATTATACCATTAGACCCATCATACAATTATATCTTTAGACCCATCATACAATTATACCATCAGACCCATCATACAATTATACCATCAGACCCATCATACAATTATACCATCAGACCCATCATAGAATTATACCATTAAATACACCCCACCCCCCACCCCCCAACTAGATATTCTACCACCACACAATTCTCTGACCCAATATCTAACCTCAAACCCTAACCCCTACTTCTCTTGACCCAATATCTAACCCCTGACCCCTACTTCTCTTGACCCAATATCTAACCCCTGACCCTGACACTAAACCTTTACAAACATTCTAAAAATCCCATTGAATCTTTAGAACGAATACATGTTTGGTTACAAGCAAGCCAGTCGTCGTGAGGACGACATATCCATTGTTAACGCTGGCATGATGGTTGACCTGGGCCACAATGGAACCATTATCAAAGATATTCAGATTGCGTTTGGGGGAATGTCCATTAACACCGTCTTGGCTACGAAAACAATGGAGGCATTGAGAGGAAGGTAAGAATTCAATTATTTTTTCCTTAAAATATATTTTGGCAACAGTCGGGTGGTTTTTTAAATTTTTTTTAGGAAATGAGACCATCACATAACATGTCTGGTATGGAATCTTGTAAGTCAGAAAAAAATTTGCTTCATGGCAATAAGCCAATTTAAAATGACTACTTAGGCTGCTGTAAGCTATTTGAAGACTGTGAATAGTTATATCTGGTAATTACTCTGACTTAGTTGTAATTGATGCAATGAACACGGCTATGACCTATATTATCCTCGCAGAGAATGGGACGAGGCCATCATGGACATTGCGTGCTCTCAGGACATGCTTCCGGCTGACCTCCCCCTGCCCCCAGGCTCACCGGGGGGCATGGTTGCCTACAGACGGACCTTGACCCTCAGTTTTTTCTTTAAGTTCTACACGGCTGTAACACACAGAATTCAGCAGGTCGGTTCAGCAGCTTTAGCTATTCAGGATATACGTTTCAATTCATAGTAGAGGAGGGCGAGGCTGCTTGCTTAACTACACTAATATGTTTCTGAAATAATATTAATAATATTTACAAGAGGTATACCTATTCAGTAGTATACCTATACATTAGTATACCTATTGATTTCATACCATCTTAATCTGTGATATAAAATGATTTATTTTTTTGACAGACTGACCTTACATATCAGTACTCTGTTGGTTTGTTAAATTTATTCAGCTTTAGTTCTTAACAAGGGTTTGACTCTTGTCCATTTGGGCAAAAATTAAAATCACTAAATTTCTTTGACTTTGGAGATATATTCTAAGTAAAAAAAAACAACCAATCAAATTTTTTTCAGAAGGTCATAATGACCCCCCTGCCTCCAGAAAATGTTAGCGCGGCACATCCACTGGTCAGAGGCCCCAGCAGCGGCAGCCAGTTCTACAGTGCCAAACATCACGACTCCCCCTTTGATACCATCGGGCAACCAATAGTTCATGTTGCGGCCCACAAGCAGGTCACCGGAGAAGCCATTTACTTGGATGACTTGCCTGTTTCTGAGGGTAACTCGTAAAAAAAAAATAATCATGATATAATAATAGACTTTGTTTGTCAAACAGATGGAGAAAAACTTATGGACTTTACAAAATGTTGTTTAATTCCTGTATTTTATAATGAAAGCTCTTCATCTCAGTGACTATAGTTTGAAAATTTTTTTTCAGCAATCCTTACCAATTATAATTTTTTATCTATATTATTTGAAAATGTATTTTTTTAAAGAGCATCCGGATAATAACAATTTTGATTTAAAAGGGTGAAGTGACAATGAAGAAAGTTTTTTTTAAAACTTCACAAATGTCACAAATGTGGATGATATAACTTCCAGGTGAGCTGTTCATGGGTCTGGTGACCAGTAAGAAAGCTCATGCCCGCCTAGTCAAGGTCGACCTGTCACATGCTCTAGAGATGCCCGGTGTCATCGATGTAGTGGACTTCCATGATGTACCAGGGGACAACGACTGGGACACTACAGAACAAGTTTTCGCTAAAGAAAAGGTGCGTGCGACTGCTTTGGGTGTAATTTAATAATTACTTAAAAAAAAGGGGAGAGCATCTTTTAATTTTTAATACAGTTCAAATTATAATTATCTTTTAAACTTATTTGGTCTGTTTGCCTAGGTGGTTCATGAAGGCCAGGTAATCGCAGCAGTTCTTGCCACATCTCAAGCAGAGGCGCAGAGAGGCGCCCACAGTGTAGTAGTTGAGTATGAAGACCTGGACCCAGTACTCACCATCAAGCAGGCCATTGAGAAGAATATGTTCTATCCATCTGCAGTCAAGGTAAAAGAAAATCTGTGTGCCATTGAATGTGAGTTCTAAACTATGCACTTAAATTAGGATGTTTGAATCTTTCGTGGCTAGTGAATATAAAATTATTTAAATTTATTTTAAGGGAACTATTTTGTTTGGAGACTATTGTTATATTATCTTTAAATTCATATCACCACAGCTGGATAATGGTGACGTGGATAAAGCATTCCTGACATGTGACCATGTTGTCGAGGGAAATATGCATGTGTCAGCACAGGAGCACTTTTATCTGGAGCCTCAGGGATGTGTTGTGTACCCCAGAGATGCAGGGGAGATTGAGGTGATAGCCACTACACAGTCACCGACACAGATGCAGGTCAGCAAAGGGGGGGGGGGATGTGTGTGTGGTGATCAAAGATCATCTTTCAGATCTATAGTAACGTCCATAATTAAGTAAATTAAATTTTATCAATTGATCAAAAATGTTAAATGAAGCCTTGACTATACCCCCACGTCAGCGATTCCCAAATGGTGGCCTGTGGACTGGCGTGATTCCGTCAGCTTTATTTTGTGGGTTTGCACATCTTGTGTCCAGCAACGTGGAAAAACGTAGCGTATGTTCCTTGTTGGAGTCTCATTGCAAAGCCACCAATAATTTGCTGGACAATAAATAGGCTGGCGCAACTTAATTTGCATGCCAGTAATATGGGGACCCACCTTTGGCATTAAGTAGCAACTATTATCTAAAATGTTGTTTTTTTTCAAATATTTGTTTTACATTTCCTCTTAGGACTTGGACTATAAATGGTCATAAATCTTGCATTGAAGGACTTTATATCATTTCTAAAACAACCTTAACAAAAAAAATTACTTTTTAACGGCATAGATTAAATGGTAATAAGTAATAAACTATAGTCTTATACTCCTATAAAATGGTAATAGGTAATAGAGTATAGCTGCATAATCCTTTTGAATGGAAATAAAGTATAGTTCTATACTGCTATTAAATGTAATGGGTAATCAAGGACATCCTTTGGGTAGGGCAGGGTGGGTCATTTGCCACCCCCCCCCCGAATTTGCAGGTTTCATTTAAATTTCTATGTAGTGTGGCATTTGCTTTCCCCCCCCCTCCCCTCCAATTTTTAATTATCAGGTTCTATTTAAATTGCTATGAACTGTGGCGCCTCCAGTAATATATAACTTAACAAGCCGACCAAGTTTTGTACCATGTTTTTTGTGTCGCCCCCCCCCCCCCCCTTTCCTGAAAAAACCTGAATAATAGGCTTTAGTTGTATCATCTTATTGAACTTTCTGATCACGGATTACAAATGTGTCACATTTTCATTCTCAAATAGAAAAGACAATTAATAAATCTGACAGAAGTTTGGGTAAAACTCCCCCATGTCATTGATTAGGGTCTCTCTGTAATTCAAATTTTATTTGTTTCATGGTTACATCAGAAAGGTCTTATCAAAGTATTGGGCTACCAAGCCAACCACATTAATGTCAAAGTCAAAAGATTGGGTAAGAATATTTTTGTCTTGAATCTATGAAGAAATTCTCTGATTGTACTGAATCTTTAGAAGATTGAAAGATAATACTGAATGATAGTTGATTGGAAGATTGTACTGAATGATTAGATGATTGAAAAATTATACCTAATGATTAGATGATTGAAAGGTTGTACAGAATGATCCTGATGATTGAAAAATTGTACCAAATGATTAGATGATTGAAAAATTGTACGGAATGATTAGATCATTAAAAGATTTATAGGATTATTAGATGATTAGGGTGTAGGGAGCAATTTTAAAAGTAGTGTGTAAGGAGCAATTTAAACGTTGTTCGTCAGCCAGGAGTCGACCATGACCACTTTAATCATTAGATTTGTGCTAGGTCTATCTGTGGGTGCGCAGATGGCCAATGAGGCCGTTTCCGCGCCAAAATTTTCTTGTGCAGTAGGTGCAGGGAAATGATGGGGCATCTCCGGGAGCAGAGTCAGACAGGGCCTACCTGGCATGTCTCTTGCGCTCTGCAGCCGCGGTTCTGCCAACTTTATGTACTGTGTGGAGAAAAATTTTAACAATAGTGTGAAGGGAGCAATTTTGACACTAGTGTGTGGGAGCAATCTTAACTAGTGTGTGGAGAGCAATTTTAACAGTAGTGTTAAGGAGCAATTTTAACAGTAGTGTGTAGGGAGCAATCTTATTTGTAGTGTATAAAGAGCAATATTAATAGCAGTGTGTAGGGAGCAATTTTAACAGTAGTGTAAATGGAGCAATTTTAACAGCAATTTGTAGGGAGCAATCTTGATTTAAAAATGGAGGTGGGAGTTTGTCTATGCCAAGTAAATTATTTTCTCACAAAAATATAACCAATTGTAATGTTTAAACTGAGTCAAATTTAGCTTTAAAAAAAAACATCTGGGATTCTGTTTACTGATTGATTGCATTGAATAGACTCTAGCCAATCAAAAGTCTTGTTCCAATTACAGGTGGAGGCTTCGGTGGTAAAGAGACAAGAACCGCATCCATTATTTTACCCAGTGCTGTAGCCGCAGTAAAGTGAGCCACTTGCTATTCTGGAATCAGTAGTTTTTAGTATTTTGCAATTGGTCAACAGACCCATGAGTCTCATTACAAATTTAATGTAATTGGTCAACAGACCCATGAGTCTCATTACAAATTCAATGTAATTGGTCAACAGACCCATGAGTCTCATTACAAATCTAATATCATTGGTCAACAGACCCATGAGTCTCATTACAAATCTAATGTAATTGGTCAACAGACCCATGAGTCTCATTACAAATCTAATGTAATTGGTCAACAGACCCATGAGTCTCATTACAAATTTAATGTAGCCTACGGAAAGGACTAAGGACTTAGTACGGTCCAGTACTAAGTGACAGTGCTGATTTAGCATGATCCATTACTAGGTGACAGTGATGACTTAGAATGTATGTTACAGTACTAGGTGACAGTGATGACTTAGAATGTATGTTACAGTACTAGGTGACAGTGATGACTTAGAATGTATGTTACAGTACTAGGTGATAGTGATGACTTAGAATGTATGTTACAGTACTAGGTGACAGTGATGACTTAGAATGTATGTTCCAGTACTAGGTGACAGTGATGACTTAGAATGTATGTTCCAGTACTAGGTGACAGTGATGACTTAGAATGTATGTTACAGTACTAGGTGATAGTGATGACTTAGAATGTATGTTCCAGTACTAGGTGACAGTGATGACTTAGAATGTATGTTACAGTACTAGGTGACAGTGATGACTTAGAATGTATGTTACAGTACTAGGTGATAGTGATGACTTAGAATGTATGTTACAGTACTAGGTGATAGTGATGACTTAGAATGTATGTTACAGTACTAGGTGACAGTGATGACTTAGAATGTATGTTACAGTACTAGGTGACAGTGATGACTTAGAATGTATGTTCCAGTACTAGGTGATAGTGATGACTTAGAATGTATGTTACAGTACTAGGTGACAGTGACTTAGAATGTATGTTACAGTACTAGGTGACAGTGACTTAGAATGTATGTTCCAGTACTAGGTGACAGTGATGACTTAGAATGTATGTTACAGTACTAGGTGACAGTGATGACTTAGAATGTATGTTACAGTACTAGGTGACAGTGATGACTTAGAATGTATGTTCCAGTACTAGGTGACAGTGATGACTTAGAATGTATGTTACAGTACTAGGTGATAGTGATGACTTAGAATGTATGTTCCAGTACTAGGTGACAGTGATGACTTAGAATGTATGTTACAGTACTAGGTGACAGTGACTTAGAATGTATGTTACAGTACTAGGTGGCAGTGATGACTTAGAATGTATGTTCCAGTACAAGGTGATAGTGATGACTTAGAATGTATGTTCCAGTACTAGGTGACTGTGATGACTTAGAATGTATGTTCCAATACGAGGTGACAGTGATGACTTAGAATGTATGTTCCAATACGAGGTGACTGTGATGACTTAGAATGTATGTTACAGTACTAGGTGATAGTGCTGATTGGTAAGGCAGGTGGGCTGTTCATTTTAAATTCTTGTTCTTGGGCCATGTCAAAATTTTACATTTGAATAAATGATAACATTTTTCTTATTGTGTCATTTGTTGTTAATGTCGTCCTCTCTCCCAACAGAACCAATCGTCCAGTTAGGTGTGTATTAGATAGAGATGAAGATATGTGCTTGACTGGGACACGTCATCCAGCATATATCACCTACAAGGTAGGACCAGCTCTAAAACTGACAACTTGCCAGTTGGCATATTGAAGTTCTTGTTGATTTGATAAATGATGCTGTTATTTCTCTAAATTTAGGAGCCTAGACCCACAGCAGTCAATAAAAGAATTTTTTTGTTCAACTTCAGCAAACTTAAGGCAGGTGTTCTCAACCTGTGGGTCGCGACTCCTTTGGGGGTCACCACAACATGAGAAACTGTATTAAAGGGTTGTGGCATTAGGAAGGTTGAGAACCACTGGCTTAGAGAGTTTCTACACAGTCAACTACTTCTGGCAGGAAATAAAACTTTAGAATATTTTTTTTAAATTGACACTTAATCGAGTTTTGGCCGCATTTGGTGGGGTAGTTTGTTGTTTCAAAGAAATAGAAATTAGAGTCACACACTTTAATTAAAAATAAACTGCATCTTTAAAATTAAATGATCAATGATAGTTTGTCAATTTAATGAATATTTTTTTATTACAATCTACTCCATGGGGTAAAAATAAAAACTGAAAATATTCTGCATTTTCAAAAAACTTTTTAGATTGGCTTCAACAATTCAGGGAAAATTCAGGCCATTGACGCTCACTTGTATCTGAACATGGGACATTCAACAGATTTGTCACCAGCTGTAAGTATAACAGTTGTCTCTAGTAAAAATGAAGAAGATTTTATTTATGCACATTTTAATTAGTCTTTAACAATAGCTATGAGGAAAAAAAGGGAGGGGGGGGGGGTGCGCGCAAAAATGTTACATATTTTAGTAAAACTTTTTTTTTAAAAATTATATTTATTTACATTTGTTTGAAATTATTTTATCTGTTATATGTCACTGAAAGGTTTTAGAAACAGCTGTCCTCGCATTGGACAGTGCATACAACACACCAAACTTCAGAGTTCAAGGTCATCTCTGCAAAACCAACCTGACATCCTGCACAGCTTTCCGTGGGTTCGGAGGTCCGCAGGCCATCATCATGGCTGAAAACTGGGTGGATCATGTCGCTGAGACTCTGGGCATGGCTCCTGAAGAGGTTTGTCAAGTGTTTTGGAGAAACTAATAGATAAATAGCTGGGGGGGGGGCATAGACATTTATTGTTAGCTGGTATCAGTTCTATGTGGTATTGCAATATTATGTATGGGCCCCATTTATGATTTTACTTCAGTCATACTTTGCTAATGTGCCTTGTATAGGGAAAGCTCCATCCACTGTGCCAGACATTGTTGCAAGGGCTGATAAGTCTACACAATGACTGCAAAGAATGTGTTGAAATTATTCAGAAATAATTTGTATAAGAAACTATTATGTGCAACCCTTCATAATTTAACTCCCTTGCAAACTTTTTAAACTTTTGCCACCACTGCGAAACAATTAACAGAAAGCATCATTTGAGGTTTCAGTGTAGTTTTCTGATTTTTGTGGCTTGGAAAAGGTCAAGGTCAAACTAGTAATGAACATTCTGCTCTTGATGTTCAGCAGAAGTTTTCTTTTTCTTTTTTCAAGACCTTGACATTGTCTGCATGTGAACTATTGTTTAGGCACATGGTGTTTGCAGATATTGAAAAAGTCCATCTGTTATTTTTTGTTTTTTTTTATGGATCTATTTCCTCTGATAAAGCGTACTCGTTCTCTCTGTCTGTCCTGTCACTAAATAAAATTTGATTCATGAATTTCGAAATAATTCATTTTTAAGGTGAGAGCAAAGAATTTCTTCAAAGAAGGAGATTGTACACCATGTGGTCAAGTCGTGACCCTGTGTAATCTGACCAAGTGTTGGCAGGAGTGCATGAAGAACAGTGAATTCCTGAAGAGGAAAGTTGAGGTGGAAAAATTCAACAGGTATTTGGTTATACTCATGGTAGATACTTATGGTAGATAAACAAGGTGGTACAGATACAGATGCGGACGTCAAAATAAGGATAGGAAAAGCAAGAGCAGCCTTCCAACAACTCAAGAATGTTTGGGTCTCTAACAACTTAGGCAGCAAGTTAAAAGTAAGGATTTTTAACGCTATGGTAAAACCTGTGCTGCTATATGGAGCCGAGACATGGAGAACAACGGCCGTAAACCTGACCAGAATCCAGTCCTTCATCAACAACTGTCTAAGAAGGATTCTCAGAATTCACTGGCCAGACAAAATCAGCAACCAGGAACTGTGGCAGCGGACTAAACAGAAACCCATTGAGGAAGAGATTCTCCAGAAGCGGTGGAGGTGGATTGGTCATACACTAAGAAAACCTGCTTCTAACATAACAAAGCAAGCCCTGAAATGGAACCCACAGGGTAAGCGGAAAAGAGGCCGTCCAAGAAACACTTGGCGCCGAGAATTGGAGACAGACATCAAGAAAATTGGCCATGAATGGAAGATCCTGGAGAAGCTGGCCCAGGATAGAGATGCCTGGAGGTCTCTTGTAGGTGGCCTATGCCCTTGGAGGAACCGCAGACGCCGACGATGATCGGTGGATGCCCCTCATGGACGAGAAGGCTCAACAACAATTTGGTTATACTCAACTGTTTAAAAAATTTCCAAATTTAAATGCAATGTTTTTGTTTGAAATTGAAGAAACAATCAGCCTTGTGATAGAAACAATCAGCCTTGGGATAGACAAAATCAGCCTTGGGATAGACAAAATCAGCCTTGGGATAGACACAATCAGCCTTGGGATAGAAACAATCAGCCTTGGAATAGACACAATCAGCCTGGGGATAGAAACAATCAACCTTGGGATAGGCACAATCAGCCTTGGGATAGAAAAAATCAACCTTGGGATAAGCACAATCAGCCTTGGGATAGAAACTATCAACCTTGGGATAATCCCTGAAGCTGCATCATTTGATGACTTTTATTTCAACACATCGCTTTCATTTTGTAATAATTTTATTTAAAATTTTTTTGTCCACAATGGTTTAAATGTTTCATACCTTTTAATTGTGCATTTTTATTGCCTAATTACTAATAGGAGACCAATATCTCTTTTATTCTTTTTCAAACATTACATTTTCAGCAAAAAATAAAAAATTTTCTGACATTTGTTTGGCACATGTACATTTACAAAGACAATGAACAGAGATGTATCCACTAGATCGCACATGGTACAGAGATGTATCCACTAGATCGCACATGGTACAGAGATGTATCCACTAGATCGCACATGGTATTGTTTAAACTATTATTTAATTCGATTTTTAAAAAAAATCCATTACAGAGAGAATAGATGGAAAAAAAGGGGAATAGCTATAACCCCCTTGAAGTATGGGCTCGCCTTCCTACTCCAGTCTATGAACCAGGTACAAGTACTTTGATTTTATCGGGGGAAGTACGTCTCATAAACTTGTTTTGTTGTAACATTTACAGTGGGACACGCAGACATGAGCCATAAAAAAAACAAAAAACAGAATTTGTTATTTCCTTGCTCATATTTTCATCATAAACTACTATTTAAAGAATGAAATAGTAGAACAAGGTATGTTGAAGCTTGAATCAAGAGACAGGACAATAAGATGTGAACGTTTCACCTGAGAGCTTTCCTCAGTAGACAAGACAAATTAAAATAGGACAAAGAAATAGAGCATAGTAAAAGAACTTTAGAGATCTCCTTTGTTGTTGCCGGAAGTTTATTATGTAAAAGAAGAGATTAACAAGATTATTTCCATTGATAGATGTGTATGGCCTTTTTTTATAAAAACAATCAGAGGACTAAGCACATCCAGCAATGATTGAAATGTTAGGGACTTATCCATTCAGATAAAATTCTGTGGGACACATGGATAAGTGAATAGATAGCCTAGCTGTCACATCGATTAGTGAATAGACAGCCTAGGAATAGACAGCCTAGCTGTCTTTTTTATTAGTTAATAGGCAGCCTAGCTGTCTTTTTTATAAGTGAATAGATAGCCTAGCTGTCACATGGATTAGTGAATAGACAGCCTAGCTGTCTTTTTCATTAGTGAATAGATAGCCTAGCTGTCACATGGATTAGTGAATAGATAGCCTAGCTGTCTTATAATGCATGAATAGAAAGCCTAGCTGTCATATTGATTAGTGAAAAGATAGCCTAGCTGTCACATGGATTAGTGAATAGATAGCCTTGCTGTCTTATTGATAAGTGAATAGATAGCCTTGCTGTCTAATTGATAAGTGAATAGATAACCTAGCTGTCTAATTGTTAATTGATTAGATAACCTAGCTGTCTTATTGATTAGTGAAAAGATAGCCTTGCTGTCTTATTGATAAGTGAATAGATAGCCTTGCTGTCTATTTGATAAGTGAATAGATAGCCTTGCTGTCTAATTGATAAGTGAATAGATAGCCTAGCTGTCTTATTGATTAGTGAATAGTTAGCTTAGCTGTCATATTGATTAGTGAATAGTTAGCTTAGCTGTCATATTGATTAGTGAATAGTTAGCTTAGCTGTCATATTGATTAGTGAATAGTTAGCTTAGCTGTCATATTGATTAGTGAATAGTTAGCTTAGCTGTCATATTGATTAGTGAATAGATAGCTTAGCTGTCATATTGATTAGTGAAAAGATAGCCTAGCTGTCACATGGATTAGTGAATAGATAGCATTGCTGTCGTGTTGATAAGTGAATAGATAGCCTTTCTGTATAATTGATAAGTGAATAGATAGCTTAGCTGCCATATTGATTAGTGAATAGATAGCTTAGCTGTCATATTGATTAGTGAATATATAGCCTAGCAATGCTCACAATAATTTTTAGCCCGCTGATTTTCTCACAGACAATAATTCATAATTATAATTAAAAGTGGTAGCTAATACTTTTTTTAAAATAACAGTTAAAAGGTGTGTTATGAAATTAACTTTTAACTGCTTAGTGAATCCTTCACCTTTTTCACCAGTTATCATAAAATGTCCTACCGCTTTTTGAAACTCCTCTGACTTGTATCTCAGGGTGGAGCTCTGGTCAACATTTACACGGATGGCTCAGTGCTGGTAACTCACGGAGGCATTGAGATGGGCCAAGGTTTACACACAAAGATGATACAGGTAAGAGAGACTTTGTAATGGGTTTTGGTATTATAAAATTCGTATGTCGACTAATAGGGTACCTGAAAAATATGATAGGATAGCTATACCTGACAATTGTACATTTTGACAGCACTCATAAGTCTATAATTAATTTCTTAATTTTTTTGTCCTACTGAAAATATTTAAGATAAACAGATTCATGGAGATATTAGCATGTGACACAGCACAACATTATCATCCCAAATAGTTTAATGGGATATCACTATTCTTGAAATAAAATATGACTTTTTTTTGAAGGCGGGGGAGACTTTGAAATGGTTTTATTGCAAAAGTATTAAAAGATTGAGACGTAAGCTTGAAATATAGAGATTTATATCAATTTAATTTTAGGATTTAGTCCAAATTATGTTTTACCCTAAGGACTAAAACACCCAGTCACATTCTACTACAAGAAATTAGAAACTTTGACAGAAACCTGCCAAGATTAAATCTATCTTAAATTGTGCACCAAGATTAAATCTATCTTAAACTGTGCACCAGGACTAAATCTATCTTAAACTCTGCACCAAGATTAAATCTATCTTAAATTGTGCAATAGGTTGTCAGTAAAGAGCTGGACATTCCCGTGTCATGTGTCCACATCAGTGAGACATCCACGACGACCATCCCCAACACGGGTCCTACGGCTGCCAGCATGTCATCAGATTTATACGGAGCTGCTTTGATTGTGAGTAGATCACATGAAGCTATTGCAAGTAAGCGAGGTGTGGATGGAAGGGCTTTGCCTGCGGTGATTGTGCTCGTGACTATTGTCAAATAATGCACTCCTCTAAATACTTCTTAGTTGACAAGAAAGAAAAATTGTGTTCCAGAACTTTTACCAGGAATAGAAATGATTGTGATGTATATTTTATATTATTGAGCTAAACTGTGATGAAATGATAATGAAGTGCCATATATTTTATTGTTCCTTAGGATGCATGTAAGATATTGAAAGAGAGGCTAGCTCCATTCAGAGCAGCTGCACCCAACAAGACAATCAAAGAATGGGTAAGAAAGGAAATTTGTCATCAACTTAGGATCCATGAAACACAATGTGCACCTTAAGTTAGAATTGTGCAGACAATTTATACAATTGAGGAATAAAATGCTGGATTTTTCGTCACTTAAAACTAATTCTGTCCAAAAAAAAAAGATTATTTATTAAAAAGGGATAACCGCTACTTTATTTTTCAGACTTAATAGTTGTGGCCCTTGTATTTTTTTTTAAGTTTCATTTTTTATTTCTTTTAAGGCACACGAAGCCCATCAGAATAGAGTGCCATTGTCTGCTGTGGGATTTTACAAGTAAGTTAATTTTTCTGATATTGTATGTTTGTTGGATTAAAAATTTATGCTTTACAACTTCAAAATTATAACATTCAGTGGTAAAACAAGTTTCTAAAATGTATTACTTTGGAAAAAAATATTTAATGTTAAAATTATTACACTATAATAAGTATTGATTCCAATTGTATAATTTTAACGGGGACAACTATTCATTAACACTTACGGGAGATAATTTGTGATTTGTTCAATTGAGATTTCTATAAATTACTTATTGGCAGGCTTGAGGGCGTTACGCTGGACTGGAGTCAGAAGGTCAACAGCCCATTCAGCTATTTCTCATTCGGAGCGGCGTGTTCAGAAGTTGAGATTGATTGTCTTACTGGCGACCACCAGGTACTTTTTGATTGATTAAGATTGATAGATAAGGAATCTTTTAGGATGTGGAGGACACATCAAAATACACAATAAGGTGAAGGTCACATTGCCACTTTAATTCAATGGGTTCAAATTTAATGTTGATTAAAATAATTTTTTTTAAAATAATAAAACGAAGAATTAATGCTTAGGACAGGCTAGACCATAAATAAGGCAATAATTGACCCACTTTTAGATTTCCTCCCATGCCTCATTTTACAATACATTACCCACCCTGTGAACCACTTCTGCCCACCCTGTGAACCACTTCTGCCCACCCTGTGAACCACTTCTGCCCACCGTATGTAAACCACTTCTGCCCACCCTGTGAACCACCTCTGCCCAACTTGCGAACCACTTCTGCAATCTTACATTGCTAGTAATAAAGTAAAATTGTTAAGAGTTTGTTTCTAAAACTTAAACTTTAAAAAAAAAATATTTTTTTTACAGGTTTTGAGGACTGACATTGTCATGGACGTGGGTCAAAGTCTGAACCCCGCCATCGATGTCGGGCAAATTGAAGGGGCTTTTATGCAAGTAAGACAACAAATATTTTATAGGCTAAGGAGAACAGAATTGCAGGACTAGGGGAGGCGTGTGGCTTCTAAATATTAAAAAATATGAAAAACATAAGGTTTCAGATGAGTTAATTTCTAAATTGATCATGATGGGCAAGCAATGCCAAAAACAAAATAAAAGAATTGAAGAAGCTAAAAATTTGTTCCAACTTTTTTTGGGCTAAATTACCAATGGCAGCCTTTTTTGTGTTATTATTTCTGTATGAGATCAATTTATTATGTGATACTGTGGCCTTTTTTCTTGCATCCCCACACAATGGTTTCTTGTGTTGTTTGCTCTGCAGGTAGTTATACAAAACTGAGGTTAAAAAATTCGAAATAAATTTAAGACCCAATGAACCTTTCAAATGTTTTTCAAGTGGGAACAAACCTCTGAAAAAACAACAGATACAAAAAGATATTCTTTTATTTTATATTGTTATAATTCTCCTTAATTCCAGATATAGTTTAGGAATAAGCAGATTTTGAGCAGAATTTTTGTAAAATTAATGAAAGATTAATCTATCTCCTTTCTTGACTTCTATCTGGTCGAGAAACAAACGCACACCATGTACAAAAAATTATCCCAAAACTTCTGAATTCAAATCAAGGGCAAGCACCCAGGATTGGCCAGCATCTAGCTATTTAAGACAATCTGTTTTCTGATTCCAGGGCTATGGCTTGATGATGCTTGAACAATCTGTTTTCTGATTCCAGGGCTATGGCTTGATGATGCTTGAAAAATCTGTTTTCTGATTCCAGGGCTATGGCTTGATGATGCTTGAACAATCTGTTTTCTGATTCCAGGGCTATGGCTTGATGATGCTTGAACAATCTGTTTTCTGATTCCAGGGCTATGGCTTGATGATGCTTGAACAATCTGTTTTCTGATTCCAGGGCTATGGCTTGATAATGCTTGAACAATCTGTTTTCTGATTCCAGGGCTATGGCTTGATGATGCTTGAACAATCTGTTTTCTGATTCCAGGGCTATGGCTTGATGATGCTTGAAGAGTACAAGATGTCACCCGAGGGGATCCACTTGTCCAGGGGACCAGGGAATTACAAAATACCATCCTTCGCCAACATACCCCAAGTCATGAATGTTTCCCTGCTCAAGAGCAGCAGGAATCCAAGAGCAGTTTATTCATCCAAGGTAATCAAGGTCAAGACAGTTATTAAAAATACAGTCCTATTGCAAAGAAATAACAACAATTTTAATTAATTTTATTTTCAAAACTAAAGGCTCTCAAGTTTTTGAAATGTTTACGTGCTGTAGTCTTTAAAAAAAAAAATAATAATCACTAATGACTTTCTCTCTATTGTCAGCCACAGCAAATCAGTGGCCAGTGAACAGATTGTATTAAATTTAAATTAGAAATTGGCTAAACAAATTATATTATAATATAATGCACATTTTTTTACCTGATTACCAGATAATTTATTCTGTGTCCAAATAACATATTCTGTGACCAAATAATTTATTCTCTGTCCAGATAATGTATTTTGTGCCCAGATACTCTGTGTCCAGATAATGTATTTTGTGTCCAGATAATGTATTTTGTGTCCAGATAATGTATTCTGTGTCCAAATAATGTATTTTGTGTCCAGATAATGTATTTCGTGTCCAGATAATGTATTCTGTGTCCAGATAATGTATTCTGTGTCCAGATAATGTATTATGTGTCCAGATAATGTATTTCGTGTCCAGATAATGTATTCTGTGTTCAGAAGTTTTTTGAACCAGGCAAAAAAAGGGCTGATGTTGTGTTTGGTTGTGGCACACCAGCACTTCTCCCCTTAAATAATATCAGGATCCCTACCGAACATCCCAACATGTCCAATATTGAGGAATATATTTGACATCAATAAAAACACCCCATGATGTTCATTGGGCTAGCTTCAAGATCTTTGAAAGTTATTCATTACTTTTGATCTGTATTGAGCATTGAAACGTTTTGAATTATAAATTATGTATCCCCCCCCCCCCGGGGGGTGTTGGTGAGCCGCCGTTATGTCTGGCCACGTCAGTTCTGATGGCAACAAAGGCGGCCATCAAAGCGGCCAGGTTACATTCAGAACTACAGGGCTACTTCCCTTTGAACACACCAGCGACACCAGAGAGAATCCGAATGGCCTGCATTGATAAATTCACTCAACAGGTAATGTGCTGGAGTAGGCTATGTTTTAAATATTGCATGAATAGACTGGTGGCCAAAGACTATCAAGCAGTCCAATATAGACTGGTGGCCAAAGGCTGTCAAGCAGTCCAATATAGACTGGTGGCCAAAGACTGTCAAGCAGTCCAATATAGACTGGTGACCAAAGACTGTCAAGCAGTCCAATATAGACTGGTGGCCAAAGACTGTCAAGCAGTCCAATATAGACTGGTGGCCAAAGACTGTCAAGCAGTCCAATATAGACTGGTGGCCAAAGACTGTCAAGCAGTCCAATATAGACTGGTGACCAAAGACTGTCAAGCAGTCCAATATAGACTGTTGGCCAAAGACTGTCAAGCAGTCCAATATAGACTGGTGACCAAAGACTGTCAAGCAGTCCAATATAGACTGGTGACCAAAGACTGTCAAGCAGTCCAATATAGACTAGTGGCCAAAGACTGTCAAGCAGTCCAATTATGTAAGAAATGGAAATGAATATATAAACATAGTGGGTGTCATTTTTTCCCCAGCTCATACTCTTAACTATTATAATATTGTCATGAAGATGAATTACTCTCAACATTCTTAAACTTAATGTTCCCTGCCTTTCATTATTTCCATAACAACAAAATGTAGATATTGTTTATTAAAAAAAAGTCTACAAAGTAATACAAAAAAATTTTAAAGACTTTTTAAATTAACATGTCGCGAGAGGATACAATTATTCCCTTTCTTAAATTGACTTGTATTGTCTGTTATCTATAACACTGTTATGTCTGTTATCTATAAAACTGTTATGTCTGAATCAACAGTCCTGACAACTTGATGAAAACTTTTATTCCATTTATTAATTTTAAAAAAATAAAAAAACATTTTTTTTTCCAGTTTACTAAAGATGCTGAAATGGACGCTCAGAAACCTTGGTCAGTGATTTTGTAACTGAAGCGACTGCTGGAGGGATGATGATGATGGTGATGATGAATCGACTAATGGAAGCCGTGGTCAGTGATCTTGTGAGTGATGTATGGTAGCAGTGGTCAGGTGTTTAACTGACAAGGTGACCAGTGGTACTTACAAAGAGATTATTAAATTCAAAACATCACCACCAGTCGTTGTTTGTTTTTGACACAAACTGATTTTCACTTGTATTATTTATTACCATGATATATTTCCTTGTTGTCATTTTTATTAAAAGTAGATTTTTTTTTTCTACAAAGTTTACATATAAAGAAAAAATATGGTTGTTGAAAGTGTTACTACAAAAAGTGTTACTACAAAAAGTGTTAAATGTAACATTAAAGTAACATTGGTTAGTTTTTTATTTGTTTGCACAGCTGAAGTTATAGTTTTGCTGCACCAAAGTTATTTTTGGGGAGGGTGAGGTTTGTTATGCAAAGTATTTCTATTGTACTGATGGCAAAAGTTCCATGTCTGCCATACAGGGGGGTCGCCTTCTTCTGCTGTCAGAAAATCTCTGTGGGGGGCATACATGTGCTTTTATAAGATTCTTGATGAGATAAGAACTAGAGTTACATCCCTTGTGTGGCAGATGTTTTGTTTGTTACTAATTGTTTGTTGATGTAATAGATGTTAACATCAATATTGTTACACAATGAGAAGCTGTGGGCAAGTTCTTCTAAAATTATAAGCTTTTGCTCTTAATTAACTTTTTTATAGAATTTCATTGCAACCAAAAAATTAAATAAAATTAAAACATTAGGTCTGTAATGCCAATGTTATTTATTAACCGATGAACCTTAGTTTTATTTGACAATCCAAAAATTTTGAATTCTATTTGAATTTCAAGAAATGTCAAAATTATCTTTTGGATTGAATTGAAACATTTTGTGATAACAAGGTGCAATAGTGTACTATTAAGTTATACCTGTGTCGGATCGTTATTAATTTTTTTTGTTTAGGGATTGTTTATTAATTTTTAAACAAAAATTTGTTTTATTAATTTCACCAAAAGAATCTCTTCTTTTTTTCCACTTTACAATTTTTTTTAAAAAATTACAATTTTTATTTTTCCTTAAAATTGAAATAAAATTGTATGAAAATTGCTAAAAATATTTTATGATATTTTATGAGATAAAGTGCTTACTTCAAAACAGGGCCTCTATGTATGTACCAGAGATGATTTAGATGTAACAATGTTACAAGTTATCAAATTGTTTTTTAAAATCTTTTTCACATGATCTCATTGCTCTTCCAGGCCATCATATCAGTGGCATGCCATGTTTACCATTTTTCATAGTTGTCACCAGAATTTGCATTTTTAAAACTTAAACAGTTGGCCTATACTATATACTCCTAACATGATTTATAAGAAGCAAACCATTTTGTAAATAAAGCAGTTTAGATTAGCTTTAATTTTAATTAGAAGACCAATACAAAATTAAGACCTTTCTGCTAATGCCACTTTCAGTACAACAAAAATGTGGTTACCGGAAATTTGTTTGAAAGAAATTTCGTCGACGGAAAATTGATCGACGGAAGTTTGGTCAAATTTTTTTTCAGTGCACGCGATCAAATTTTCGTCAAATTTCTTTTTGAATGCACTATACTAGTAAAACAAAATAATGCGTTCAAAAAGAATTCGACACAAAAGCAAAATTTGATCGTGGGGACTTGAAAAAAAATTAAATCAAATTTTTGTTAGATCAAACTTCCGTCTATCAATTTTCCGTGGACATAATTTCTTTTAAACAAATTTCAGGGTATGCAAAAATGTACATGCATTTAAATTTAATTTTACATAGTAATTTAATGTTTTTTTCTTATTAATCTACTTAAAAGTTTTATCACAATCCCAGCCACTTACAATAGGTTATTATCCATCCTAACATGGTGAGAATCAACACCTTCATTACTTATTATGAAATATTTGAAACAAGGTATGTGGAAACCTGAAAAAAGGAAATACAATATAGAACCTACATGTCAATTTGTTGAATAGATGTTATTGTACTTTATTATACATGCCATCTCGTAGAGGTTACCTACAATAAGGTTAATGCCATGTGATCGCCGATGTCGTCAATCAACATTATATTACTGGATATATATTGCGCTCAAGTGTACTGCATGAATGAAGCCCTTGTAGAATAGCAGATGATTTTTGTTGGTGTTGTTATCATATAATCACCAATGATCTATTACTACTGGTGACAGTAGAATTTGATAAAAAATTAAAAATGTATGGTTCATCCCCTGCAGGGAGGGCTTTACAAACTATCTATTTATTGGTAATGGTACATGACTCCAGAGGGTTCAAAGTTCAACAAAATCATTTTTAAAATACTTAAGGTTTGGCATGATTTTCAGTTTTATCAAATTAATTTTACACTCATTAACTCATGCAGGACCAATAGTGCAAAAAAGAATATATTTAAATTATTTGTCTGTGATATAAATCTCATATTTTTATAATAATGTCATGTTAATATGTTGGCAGAAATTGTTTATCACTGTTTTCAATGAACAACTTGTTCATTCAAGTACAGATGAGGCCCCCCCTGGTGGTGCTTTCATGAACTAACTGATTTTAGCATCTATCCCTCTATGGAAGCGAAATGTCAGTCTGTTTTAAAATTAAATTTTAATAGAAACTGCAACTAGATTAGTTACGCAGAAATGACTCGGTCAGCTTTAGGACCTTTGTCCCCCTTTGAATTAATGAAAACACTCTGGGCTGGCTTTGATCATTTTTACAAAATGTTACTATCAAAGTGCACAAATCAAAATATTTTTAAAAATTTTAGAGAAAATTACTATAATCAAAAATCTAATTTTGCATTTTTATTTGTTCTGTAATTTCATATTTACTTTATTGGTATAATTGGTATCAAATGAAGGTGAAGTAAGTTTAGTGAGCTATTAAAAACTGCAATTTGAGTGAGCTGAACTTTTATGCATTTATTTGTTACTATGTAATTTTTCGTTTTTACAAATTTATTGGTAGATAGTTTTGATGTTATATTTTTGTGTATAAAGATTATTTACACACCTTAACATAGAGATTATTACAAATTTATAATTTCCTCTTTTATAGATAGAGAAGCCAGTTGCCAGTTAAGTTTAATCCTATGCCATTTTGACTGCTGGGATTTGAAGGTTTTTTAAATTCCATGTTTACATCCTCTCCAAGAATAGTGGCCTTGCTTGCCTGGTTTGTCTTGCTTGCTTGGCTTGGCAGCCTAACTTAGCTTACGAGATGAATTAGTAGCCAGCCTGCTGGGCATGTAAGCCCATTCCTCCAGGCATTTACCAATCACTGGGGATAAGACGAATTTGGACCCGCTGCCTCTTGGTATTTAGGCAGGTGCACTAGCATCTATGCAAGGCAGGCATCAAAATTAATTACAAAATACTGTTTAGGTTTATCCTGTGATAGAATGAAACTTAACTCTTTTTGACTTAGGAATATTCAACTAACAATTAAGGCCTGACAAAATGTTTATGATGTTATAGGATAGCTTGATGTTGTGTTTACTTATTAGTCTGAAAAAAACATTCTAACCATTTGAATTTTGAGTAGGTCTGGTAAAAAAAAAAATCTTTCATGTAAGAAGCAGAGAAAAAAAATCAAAACCATATTTACCTAAAATTAAGGAGAAATTTTTTTGTTTACAAGTCATAATTTGCTATTAACAAGGCTGCAGAACAAAACAATTTATGACTGCGATATTTTTTAAACAGCTGACTTTCAGTGTACACAACCTTTTTGAATGGCAACCTTTTTTTATAAAATTATAAATTTGTTTCATCTACTTAAAAATTAAGGTGCAGAATTTTTATAAATAGTTTTGTGCAAATTAAAATAGTGTTCAGATTATTTTTACCAGTTTTGTATGTGATATAATTTATTCACTGTTTTTAAAATGTTACAGTATCTTTAGCTCCATGTTTAGACTTTCTAAAATTGTTGTTCAAGAGAAATAAAGATCTGAAATATAAATACATGAAAATATTGTGTCCCTGTTTATTTGTCATAAACTTGGAAC